AGGCAGCCTGTGTTTCATAGCGGTTGTTTAAACACCATAAAAACTCGGAAGAAAATCTAGGCTAGGTGGGGTGTACGAGGACTTAAGAATTAGTGCGGCTGCGCGCGCGCCGCGTAGTAAATGAATGGGGGGGTCCATACTATTATGGCTAGTTTTCGTATCAAAATAAGATTGTAATTGCTTGCGTGTTTTCTGTATGGTTGTCTACGTGTCAATTATAATTTAATTCGAGGTTCAAGCTTGGGATAGTGCGAGTATTCTAGACGTGGGTTAGTTACGCATCGACCCATCTAGTTTGTTACATAGGGCGGCTGAACACGCGCCGCGCAATGGGCATTATGGGTTGTGACCTGAGCAGCAGTAAACCTGCCCGAGAAATTAAATATCTTGAGATCCGCAACAGTTCCGCTGACACACAGACTGATTGACATCCAAACTTCACGGCAATTGGCATCATAACTGAAGTCTGACTCCGGCCTTCGACCCTCTCCTGCAGCCACGCTCACAATATAGCTTCAATGAGAAGGCTTCGGTTTTGCGCTATTCCAGGTGCGGCATCTGACGGCGCGCAGCCTTCCTTCAGCAGTGGTCGGTGACTTACTGTCCAGGAGGATTGATCGATGTTGCTCCCCTCCCCTGCCATAGTTTAATTAGGTTCCCTCTGGTTATAATAGGGTGACATCCGTGCCGAATGCTGTGGTTAAAGGGTTTACAAAGGGAGGCAGGTCTGTGGTTTGGGTCTGATCCCTAGGTTACGCCCTCGGGCTTCAAGAGCGGTGCCAAATTTGTGATACCGATACCGTCTTAAGGATCGACGGCCCCAGTTTAGGTTGGTTGGGGGTACGGAGCCTTAGGTTCTCGCTGTTGAATGAATGGTCCACCTCATTGATTCCCATTGCCATGCGTGAATTTCAAGTCTGGGGTGTGCGTGTCTACGATTGTAGAAATGACAGGCTTCAATGACAGGACTATTGTAGGTTACCACGCCTGCCCCGCCAGAGTGGGACCTGCTTATGTAAGAGATTGTAAGAGTAATGAGTGACAGTGCTCCGCCAGAGCTCCGTGCGCCAGCAATGGCAAGCAAGCCGAAAGTTGTTCTGGAGGCGCCGGTGGTAACAAGCATCCCAAGCGCTGACCGTGCCAGACTGGATGACCTGCGACACCATTTGGACTCCTGTGAGTTGGGGTTTCAGAAGTGCGCACACTGCCACTTTGCAGCAGGCCCGGGCTGTCGAAGCTCAGAACAGTTATCGCTAGTCGTATTACAAGTGTCAATTGCCAGCCGGTTCGAGGGTCTTAGGCCATCTTTATTTCTCTTCCCCCTATGAAACGTCGAGAAGCGTTTGGAAAGGGTCAGATAACTGCGCTGTAAGTGGTTCACATTTCATGGGAAGGCTATCTTGGTCGGCTACGCAAGGGCTCGACATCCTTACACGCTGAGAGCCGCGTGCACAGTTGGAAGTCCAAATGTACTTTCCAGAAAAATGGTTCGATTTTTCCTTGGCTGGTGCCGCTGAAGTCGCCACAATTTAAGATCGGGTGCTACGTGTGCCATGTGCAGAATGCCAACAATGCTTGGGCCAACTTCCAGGTGAACATGAAGGGATCAAGCAGCATGAGCGTGAAGAACATCACTCAGCATGCAAGTGGTAAGAAGCACGCAGCCTGTTTGAAGGCCATTCTGGACGGACCAACTGAGGTGCCCGCAGAGGCTGTGGAGACATCATTGGCCGAAGATGGCGGTGCTGTTTCTACTATTGCTGCGGACGTTCCGCGGATGGACCGTTGGATTGCTGCCCTGGACCTGCTTTGCTCACGTGTTGGCTACCAGCAGCAGCGCGGCAGAGTGCAATCTTCGGAAGTTGGCACTAAGCTCACTCCTGGCGGCGCAGCAGACGGCAGCAAAACTGTCACTCGCAAGATGATCCTTTGCATGGCGGAGGTCATCAGCGAGGTTGACAGAGCTCGAATCGAGCAGTGCAACGCTGTCGGCATAGCCGTGGACAAAGGCGGTGATCATCTGGTTGCCTATGCGCGCGTCCTTGGAAAGACTGGCATGTATGAGATGCTACTTGGAGTTGTGAAACAAGACTTGTTGAAGGACAACAGCAGGGGTACCCTTGAGGCATTGGAATTGCTATTCAAGCAAATCTGCACCAAACCCGCCCGTTGCAAGCGAAATGAGAACAACATGTTCGGCAGTGACGAGGACAGGTTGGACAATGTGCTTTTCAAGCGGTTGTGTGAAAGTGTTTTCACTGCCGTTGCCGATGGAGGTCCCAATGAGCAGAGGTGCCTGTATGAAGCCTCTCCTTCTGGATCTGATTTGCGGCAACAGCCGGACTATGAACCTCTACTACCAAATCTTCGTTTAATTGTTCGGGACGCGGCCCATAGATACAGGTCGATCGACAAGTTGGTCGTCTCGAAGCTGCCTAGCCTGTTCAAAGAGACGCTGGAAAGTTTGGTCAGTGGGGAAAGAAGCATCTCACAATTGCTAGAAAAATCGCCGAAGTTTTCTCAGCTGTTCCTGGAGTGTCAGAAAGACATGGCTGAGACGGAAGATGGACCATCATTCAGCAGGTTCTTGAAAAGCTTTTCCTTTGCTGATCACAGCTTCGACAGCCGCAAACGACCGCTGCTGCGGATATTTAATCTTCTGCCTGTGGTGAT